GAGATGCTCCACTCCCTTAATCATCTTAGTTGCCTTTTCCTTTTGCAAAGACAAATTATTTTTTGAGGTTTTGCATAAACATTCACACTATTGTTAGTGAATTGGTAGGTCCACTCTGGAAAGTGAAACTAAATTATCTTCTTTCAGAAGAGGTGTAGCCTTTGGCTAAGAGTATGTTTTATTTTGAAGTTAATACGATTCTTTGGTTCTGGTTACAGTATGTCTTCTTGTACCCTCATAACTACTAACCTCGTTGCTGCTGTGTTAGACTCCAGAAGATGGCAAACATCCTATCAAAATTTCTGGGAGAATTATTCTGTCATTTTTTTTTATTTTTTTTTTTTTAAATATATGTAAGATTTTGTTTCTGCAGGTGTAAAAGAAAAATCGTGCTCTTTGGCAGTTCATGTGGGTTTTGACCATATGCCTGAGCTGAGTATGGTCTTTTCTAAAATAAACCTTTAGCAGTGATTTGGTACAGTCTTAGCTTCGGCCTACCAAGATACTGGTTGCTTAGCTGTCTTGGATGTCAGTATGAAGAATCATCATCTGATGAGATTTTTTTAATCGTCCAGTGCTATTTCCTATCTCAGCCTGTTACAGGACTTTAGGTACCACTTTGTTTTGTTCTGTGGACATAATTAGCCACACCTTTACCAGAGCTGCCTTATCTGAGAGGGGACTCAAATTTTGACCTTAGGCTTAGATTTTCTCTTTATCATATGAACTGGCATTTGGTGCTTGTTGCTATAACTACAAAGTATAATTTCTTTGATAATGTGAACTCTTAAATTCTCTAGTGCATAGTCAATCACTTTTTTGATGTCTCATTATAGAGAAGATGCATTTCCTATACAAAATGTTGTCCGTTATGGCTGGTCAGTCTGTCAAAACTGGGTACCCAACTGTCTTAAGTCAACATCTTTCCCTGGCGTAGCTGAACAGAATATTGTGGAAAATCAAGAGAATCCAACTTGGAGTGTTCATCCAGTGAAGACAAAAGTCAACACCCACAGGACTGTACATCCTATGCTTAAAGGAGAGCAGCAGCTTGTTTAGATAATCTTTGACACCCTTACCTAGGATGTTAGATGTATTTCACATCACTGTCTAGCAAACTGAAAGGCTTATTGTTGCAGTTGTAGTAGCTACTGTCTTTGGCACCAGTGTACTGCCAATTTTGATTATGAGGGTTCTAGCAATTTTCTGACTTTCTCATTTTATAGGTGATTTTATATGGAAGTTGTATCTTGGAGACTTATTTAAGCACATAAGTAGCAGCTGATGTAGGCAAAGATTGAAACATTTAGTAGAATTTCAAATAAAGATACAAAGTCAGTATTTTCATGTCTAAAGACACCTTTTCTTTCCAAAGTGGAACTGTAAGGATATTCTTACGAGTTTTATAACAGTTGGTCTTTAATCTGATTAATTTGTGTTTAGAGGTAAGGTTTAGGGTTATTTTTAGTTGACCTATAGAATTCCCACTGAAACTTCTTAGTCTTCCAGAAGGAAACTCTCTCACTTGTTGTTTCTGTAGTTACCAATAGAGCTATAGACAAATGGTCTCTAAATCTTTTTGATCATGCACTCCATCAGGAGGAGAAAAAAAAAAAAAAAAGGCAAAAAAACCCCCGCACAAAAGCCCCAGAAAACAAAACAAACCACTGAGCATGTACTACCCTGCCCTGGGTTCAGCAGTAGCAGTCATTTTCCTCCTCCTTAGTAGCTGCTGCAGTGCTGTGTTTTGACTTTCAGCCTGGGAACAGAGCTGAGAACACCGATGTTTTTAGTTGTTGCTAAGTAATTTTTACACCTGACCCAAACTGACCAAAGAGGTATTCCATACCACAGCACGTCATGCCCAGGATGTAATTGAGAGTTACCCAGAAGGGCTACTGGACCGTGGGGTTGGACGAGGTATCATTTGGTGTTTGGTCGGGCTGGGGGGGGAGAGTTATCAGTCGGCGGGTGGTGAGGTGTTGTATTCTCTTCCCTTGTTATTTCCTTTATCATTATTATTATTGGTGGTAACAGTAGCGATTCGTGTTATACCTTAGTTACTAAACTGTTCTTATCTCAGCCTGTGTGAGTTGCATTCTTTTTGATTCTCTTCTCCGTCCCTCCGGGAGTTCGGGGAAGGCAAGAAGGGGGAGAGTGAGTGAACGAGCTTTCTGGCTGGGTTTAAACCACGACAGATCCATATCTGCATATTTATTTATAAATTACATCCATAGAATCATGAAATGGTTTGAGTTGGAAGGCACCTTTTAAAAAAAAAAAACTAGTTCCAACCCCCCTGCCATGGGCAGAGATGCCTTCTACTACACCAGGTTGCTCAAAGCCTCATCCAACCTGGCTCTGGAAATGTTCAAGGCCAGGTTTGATCCTTGTACATTACATTGATTTATCTCCCTTCCTACTTCTATATGTCTTGGATTAGAAGTAGGAAAGGCCAAATGAAGTTTTAGAATGGTCAGTGGTCTGTTTTACAGTGCCTTTTTCACACCCATGAAACAGCTGAGTATTTGACTTTGTTTATTACAGAGCCTAGGAGGACTTGCTTTATTTTTGTAACTTACAGGATATCTTGTTTCTGTTAATTTAGACTAAGACATTCTTAGATTTGACTTTGAATGCTGCTGGCACATTTTCTCAGTGCTAGTATTCAAATCCATGTGATCTGCACTTAAGACATCTTTCTTTGCAGAGTTTTTGCTAGGTACTCCCCTATAAACAGGCTTTCATCATCTTTAAGGGAAACTTAGGAAATTTGGTGGTTGGGTGTTGTTTTATCCTTCTGAAACTTTGTCTTGTCTAGCTGAAATTTATTCCACGGCCAGTTTAGGAGAGAATGAGGGGATCAATGGTAAGTGTAAGCCAATGAGCCAAATGATGTTTATAAGCTTAAGGAAGGGGGGGCTTTGCAGGACTGTCTCAGTCTTAAGGTAAGAGTCTAAATTTCTTTCTGTGTGTGAACTTCATAGCTTTACAGGGTGCTGTACCAGGGGTTAACTTGCTTGTCCTTCTCCATTACTGCCTTACTTACCGTGTCTTAGCATGGATCAGAGTATTTTAGAGCCCATTTTGGGGTAGTGATTGCATGGCTTCTACATGGTTGGCTTCCTGAGCATATGCAACCCAATCCTTAATGTGTCTCTTAACATCATGCGCTATTTGAATGCCATCTGTGTTAAAATTGATGGGAAGTGTCAAGATGCAAGTAAGAGTATGGATAGAGCTTAACTTTCTAGGTGAGTTAAGTATATGCTGCTTCTTTCTATACTTTTCAATAATGTGGCTATTGGTGTGCTGTTAGTGTTGTGTGATCTGGATGATTTTTTATTTTTTTTTTAATTGGGACACAGTTGTTAACATATTCCCACCAACTTTTTTAGACTGAAATTCAGCAAGAGAAGTTACATCACAGGACTATCTGCAACAACTTTACTAGTAAACAAAGAATTAAACCTTCGGTTGCTCACACTGGAATTTGACATTTTACATTATGAACTGTTGTACGGTGTTGATAATCCATATATCTACAACTGTGGCAGACTTTGTTTAGAAGTATAATTTGTTGCTTTTCTGCAAATCATAGATAAAAATATAACATAGATAAAATAGGGTTTGTATTTTTTTTTTTTTCCCCAACATCCAACATGCATTAGAAGCCATAGCTGTGTTTCAGGGTCACTAACAGTGGTGGCAGAGGTGTTTTTTTTAATTGTGCTACTTGCTGCCACTTCATGCTTTTTTGAAGCCAGAACCTTCAATAGTGTGAATTGCTGACCTCAAATCACAGAATGTACAGTGTTTCGGCTTAACAACTGAAAACAACAGTTAAACACTGTTGTATTGCTTTGACTTTCAGCATGGTATGAGAAGAATTGAATAGCCTATTGATATGAGAAATCTAGAGTCATCTCTTCAGTTGGCTAGTAATACAGAATATCAAATCCAGAATAGGATTTCCTTTTGACAGTATTCCCTTCCATTCTTAGAAGGGAGGTAGGGTCTGATAGATACATATCAAGCCTTCTATTCTGTGCTCTTCCTAGAGATTTGAGGCAGGAATAAGGGAAGTGTAGGGGCTCTGTAGAGAAGCATGAGTGGTGCTGCAACTGAAATTCTTGTTTTTCTGTGGAGGTGCAGGGCTTGATGTATGATGCTAAATTTAGCCACTCCCTAAAATACTAACATTACTTGCAGATACGAACAAGAAGTTGCCACACAGCTTGTCAGTATTTGGTTTCCAGTAACTTCTTGTCATTACAGAAGTGCAGCAAATCAGTTTATCCTAGTTGCACAACCCAAGGTGAGGAAACAAAGCTGCTTAAGCACTCACTAAATTAAATTTTGTTTACGCCTTGCGAGATGTCTCAGTTCACTAGTATGAGTGGCATTATAATTCAACTTCCTGTGTCCTGATTTGTTCAACTGTCTTCAGACTTTGTGTCATGTAGAATTGGCAGGTGCTATTTATAAAACAGTGCCCAGTTTCATGATTGGTTTTGAAGTTATGGATGGACTGTACTTATTTGCCAGTAGTTGTGATGCTGACTTTTCTATGCGTCTGGTTTTTCAGTATGCAAAACATCAATATGTATAGAAGCAGGTAAACTTAGGTAGATTAGCAGGTAACTTAGTCAGATAACTAGAATCCTAGCTGGGGTGAAGGAAAAGCAAAATGAGCCAATGGGAGCATGTTTTGTAGGCTCTAATGATGTTTTAATTTTTCTTTAATCATAAGCTGCCTAGTGCACTTGCATACTTAATACACTTAAGATGCAGTGTGGCAGGATGGACCACAGTTGTATTACAGTCTTAAACGTATAGATGGGGAAAGGAAATTAAGCAACTCAATTTTTGTTTTTCTTGGGCAATGACTTAAATATTTGGGTCATTCTTCAGCATATTTGAAGGTGTTGCATTTTTTCAAGCTGGTCTTGGTGTGTTAGCTCTAAAATTTTGCTTATTAGATTACATTTACATTGAAGGGTGAAGATGTCAACCGGACACTTGAAGGTGGGAGGAAGCCTCTTCACTATGCAGCAGACTGTGGACAGCTTGAGATTCTGGAGTTTCTGCTATTGAAAGGAGCCGATATTAATGTATGTACATCAATTTGCAAACAGATGTTGGAGTGTTAGGGTCTTCCTTCTCCTGCCCCTCCCTCCACCTCCCCAAGGGATTGGTATAAGTACCTAAATGGTTACTGAAAAACTTGAATCCACCTAAGCAATTTGCGGTGTTTAAAAATATTTGACAGGCGGTTTCCTACAGGTTAGAAGCTTAAGATTACATGTATTAAAAGTTTTTATTCTTTTTGGACACACTAGGAAAAGTCGTTTATAGTTATAAAAAGTTTAACTTGACCAGTATTAGAAAAATCAATCCAGGGATCACATCTGAATAAAGTTTGCATGAAATGCATATTAGATTTGTTGGAAGTGACTTCAGAAGACAGTACAATGCATGCTTGTCCAGGGCAGGATCAACTGTGTTTAAATTGGTGTGCTTCGCTCTTTTTTTGAGACATTTTTACTTGGACAAACTTAGTCATTTTACTGTAACTTGATACGCATGGCCTTTTGTCATGAAGAGATTTGGCTGGGCTGGGCTGTGTTGGCACTTCAAAACAGTGAAGTTCTCCATGAAGTGCAGTTTCTAAATGTTTTAACCATGCACCCCAAATGCTGTGCTTTGGAATAATTCGATTGATACGGTGGAGGGGAGGGATGCCATCCAGAGGGACCTTGACATGCTTGTGAGGTGGGATGATGCCAACCTTATGAAGTTTAACCGTGCCAAGTGCAAGATCCTACACCTGGGTTGGAGCATTCCAGGCACAGCTACAGCCTGGGCAGAGAAGAGATTCAGAGCAGCCCTGCGGAGAAGGACTTGGGGGTGCTGGTTGATGAGAGACTTCACATGAACCGGCTTCAGTGTGTGCTCTCAGCCCAGAAAGCCAACCGCATCCTGGGCTGCATCAAAAGGAGCGTGACCAGCAGGTTGAAGGAGGTGATCCTATCCCTCTACTCTTGTGAGACCTCACCCGGAGTATTGTGTGCAGTTCTGCTTTCCTCAACAGAAAAAAGACATGGAACTGTGGGAACAAGTCCAGAGGAGGGCCACGAGGATGATCAGGGGACTGAAGCCCCTCCAGTATGAAGATAGGCTGAGAAAGTTGGGGCTGTTCAGCCCGGAGAAGAGCAGGCTGCGTGGAGACCTCATAGCAGGCTTCCAGTATCTGAAGGGGACCTATAGAGATGCTGGGGAGGGACTCTTCATTAGGGACTGTAGTGTCAGGACAAGGGCTAATGGGTTCAAACTTAAACAGGGGAAGTTTAGATTGGATATAAGGAAGAAATTCTTTACTGTGAGGGTGGTGAGGCACTGGAATGGGTTGCCCAGGGAGGTTGTGAATGCTCCATCCCTGGCAGTCTTCAAGGCTAGGTTGGACGAAGCCTTGGGTGATACGGTTTAGTGTGAGGTGTCCCTGCCCATGGCAGTGGGGTTGGAACTTGATGATCTTAAGGTCCTTTCCAACCCAAACTATTCTATGATTCTATATTTCTCTGAAAGTTAATGTATAGGAGGACATCTTAGCTTTGGTCCTTAATAGCAAAATGGCTTGGATTTTTTCCTTGATGTCTGGAAAGACTGTCTCTTCCTCAGTTCCTCTAATGGGAGAGGAGGTAAAAAAGGAAGGAAAGATACAAGTATTTTGGTTGCTCCATTTCTTATTCTTTCCAGGGCTATAGATTAGAGAGGAGAAGACAGCTTAAACAGTGTTTCAGCTAAAACTGGTTTCCAAATAAGGCTGGCTGGGAAATGGGCGAATTAGGAATAGTGGTTTTAAATTGGGAAAAACTTGTCAGCTGACACCCTGCAATGTCTGTCATTGGCCTAAAAATTTAAGCAAACCTTAGGATACCTTAAAAGTCTTACAGAAGAAATATCTTGCTGTTACCTGTTTTTTAAACAATGGCTATTCTTTTTAAAAGGAGAGTAAAAAATTCTGGATAATATTCTTCATTTTGTTTTACCAACACTAGTGTGAAGGTAGTGATTTAAGTGAAACCTTTTAATGCTGTCTGAAATTGTGTTTCAAATAACCTTGTCTCAATTTACAGGCTCCAGACAAACACAATATCACACCACTCCTATCAGCAGTCTATGAGGGCCATGTTTCCTGTGTGAAATTGCTTCTGTCAAAGGTGAGGCATATGTTTAGAAAAAATTATTCATTAGCAAAGTATGTTGCTGTGATTTTTTTATTATTTTTTTTCCCAGTAAGATTATGATGCTGCAGATAAGGTCAGAAAATCAGACAAATGCTGTTTATGTTGCTAAACCAGAAAGGGTAATCTGCTCATGAAGAAAATAGTTGGAGCAGGAAGTTCCAGGACTTTTGCAGTGTGAAAAAATAGTGACAATTCAGTATTGTAAGCTCCAGCTAGAGAGCAGTTAACTGCAAATCAGGCAAGAAAAATGTGCACTCCTTCAGCAGACAGGGAGGAGTGGGATTTAGCTTTAGCAGCTGCTTAAGTGTTTTATGTGATGGAATCTCCACTGTGAAGCTGCTCAGAGGTGTGGTTTCCCTCTGCTTTTGCCAGATGACTGAAAACCCATGTGGGCTGGCAGAGCGAAGGGAAGTAAAAGTAGGAAGACAAGCTTTCTGTGTTATGGAGCTTGTAAATTTTGTCCTGGGGAGAATAAGCTTGGTCTGTTTCTCTTCTACCTTTGATTCATAGAATGAAGGAGACCCAGTTAAATCAAGCAGTGCTTTGTCTCCATATGTGCTTGTTCTTGTTATATTGTACTTTGAAAAGAGGAGGTTAACAGTATGTTTTCAGAATATGAATCCACTGAAATCATTTCGCCAAAGGATTTCATGCTGTGTAATGTTTTCATATGGCACTTCCAAGGTAAAGCTTTCCTTAAGTTCATGCAGCATTGAGGCAGTTAACTTTTCTTCACTTCTGAGATGCTGTCTTATGTTAGTTATGCCTCCCTGTGAACAAATGCTGTGACTGCTAATTTAGGATTCAGATGGTGCAGCCAAATTGCTTAAATTTGTCATAAGGACTGATCCTTTATTTAGGATCATTATACACATGTCACAAAAAAGGTATCCTTTAACCCATGTTGTATTTCTTTCTTCTTTTGTTTTGAAGTGTTCTGCATTCTAAGTAAGTTGCTCAAATAATAAATACAATGCCTCAAAACTTCATTCATAAGTTGTCTGGCGAATAGTAAAGGTTATATATTAATTGTAGTCTTTGTCAGCAGGGGCATTAACATCCTTCCTGAGCCATCTAGTTTTCATGCAGCTTGTAAGAATGTATTGATCTCTATACTTGGTACAATTTGAATGGCAGCAATTTGTTTCATGGAATTTCAGCTAACTTTCGACAAGGGTTTCCTGTGATAAAGCACAATCTGTTACTTGTTATTGATCAGAAAGGACCATTTTGGAGTTCTTAGCTAATGCTTATCACATGTGGAAGTTGAACTCTGTGGTGACAATGTGTCTAAAATACAAATGACACTTTGGAATCTTGAAGCCTGGTGGTTTATCTGGGAATCACTGGCAGCCTATATACAGCTGAACTGACAGAACTGTAGAATCATTTAGGAAAGACACATAAGGTTATCAAGCCCAGCTGTTAATCTAACACTGCCAAGTCCATCACTAAATCTTGTCTTTCTCACGAACCTCCCTTGGTACAATTTTCCATTGTGCTGGTGTTCAGGTCTCTGAATGTAACCGTACATAGTTTGTCAAGTTGTATCATCACCACTATTATGGAAGTATTACCTGTGGCTACGTTTGGTCAGCTTACGAATAAAATCACTGTTGCAGGGAGAGTTTTTGCAATATGTCTAAATCTTGTGGCTGTCAGGGGCTTGAATGTAAATAAAATTATATAAATAAGTTCCTTTCTGAAAATCCAGGTGGTTTTACTATAACTCTTAACCTTAACTCTTAACTTGAATAGCTTTGTTTTGGGCATTCATAACTGTAGTAGGGAGATAGAATTTAACTTGCTACTTTCTAAAGAAACAAAATAAAGAAGTGTGGATTTTGATCTATAAATGGACCTTTCCTTGGCATTTTTAAATACTCCAGCATTAAAGCAGATTTTGGGGCAGTAGCTTTTGACAAGACAAAACATTCAATGGCCTAAGTAGTCTCAGTTCCCTAAAATGGATTTTGTGTGGCAGCATTTGGAAATGGGTGAGGAATCCAGCAAGGATTTACAAAAAATAGCCTTGTTGGTAGGCTTCTTGGGATTGATAAGGGTCTGTGGATATCGGGAGCGACCTAACTAAGCAGGTTTTGCCACAGGATGCTTTTTAACAAAACACCAGTTATGTTTAAATTTTCCGTGCAGATACTTGAGTTGTCCTTAGAAACTTCATTTGTGGTGTTCTGCAGCAGTTTTAATGTCACGAGTGAGGGAGTGCTTGTACAGAGGCTTTCTTGCCATACTGTTCCTTCAGTGTGAGATAAGCATGCTGTCTAAAAACATCAGACTGCAGTTACAAGTTGCAGCTAAGCCAATGCAAAGGTTAGTTTCACAGGAGATACTGGTCAACCTTTTACTACTCTTACCTGCCTATTACTACTGCTTCCTTGGAATAGGCTTGGCATTTACCCTGTTCATTTGTCCCTACTGCAAGTTAATTTGTCTAGTTAGTTACTTGCCAATCGAGGACTCCAAATTAAAATTTTGTTGCAGATTTTGTTGCAGATTTAGTTGGAATTGAAGAAACACTGCTGCCAAATCAAGAGATGGAACTGAGGTATCTTCAGTTTCACTTCAGCGGCTGCCATGGGAGTTTTTTCAGTCCTTTTGCAGTGTGATGTCCCTGTTCCAAAGTGTGGTCTCCCGGGTTTGATTCATTTTTGTAGATGTGTACAGTAGAACCCGATTTCTCTGTTTTACTGCTTAACCTAGTCTCTGTGGTGTTCTTTGTAAATGGCAGATGGTGTTTGCTTGTTGCCACATACTAAATGCTTGCTCAGCTGCCTCTGTTGTGGCACTGCTTTTGTAGGGATAGATGAACTGTGGAAGAAATTTGGGAATAAGAGACGTGGAACAGATGCAAACAATGAAGCTAAAGTCTTTTTAGCTAGCCCTCTAGTGTCCCTTGTAGCCACACATGCCTTATGTTATTAGTTGCAAAGGCGCAAGTGATCTCTTTTTCTCCATTACCATACTTCATGCTTATTTTTGGAGAACTGTGAGAAAGTATTTTTTTGCAAGCCTATTTATCATCATCATTTTGAAGACCTGGTTTGATGTTTTTTTTTATTAGTTTTGATAAGCTAAAGAAACACCAGCTGTTACCATTTGACAACAGGTACCTGAGGTAAGGATTAATGCATTTTTATGCTTTTCTTGTGCAGCTTCAGGGAATTGGAATGTACTAACTCTGGAAAAGTTCAGGTTTAATAGACCTCATTTTCTGCTTCTACCGTCCCACTGTCCCCCTTAGAATTGCATTGAATTGCCTTAAGTCAACCACAGCTCCAAATTATGACATAGTTAATATTTAATAAGCTACTTGGTGATCCTCTAATATTTGGCTACATAATAATACTGGAGTGATTAAAAAGAAAAAAAAAACAAAAAAAAAAAACCAAACCATCTGCAAGAGAACACCTCCCTTAACACACAGGATTGTAACACTTATTCCAGCTTTTCAAATTGCTGTCTCTGGATGGGTATTCAGAGCTTCATAAATCAAGTGTTTTAGCTCTAAATTTCGTCTTAGAATCCCTGTGAGTGTTTAAAGTGTGACCTTCTTTTAAAGTTATGGAATTACCTGTCTTTAATTTGACCTTGGAAAATACATTGATCAAAAATTGTGAGTTAAGTACTGTGAATAATCACTTGGTGGAATTTCCTGGTGGCTTTTATAGAAAGCATTTTAAACGCGAGTTTAATGTTCGTTAGTGATAGCAAGTGAGCACTCCAGCAGATTTAAGCAGTAATTTTGCAGCTTCAGAAAGCAAACAGTGTTGTGTTTACTCTTTGGTAAGCCCTTTGTTTGGTATTGAAGTTGCTGACAATGTTTTAAGGTTTTTTTTCCCAAGTTTTCATCTATTTTAATGGTTGCATAGATTTAACCCCCAATATTTTGTTATCTATTTTTTCTGCTCATAAAGCATAGCTAAAAACCACTTTGATTCATGGTTTTACAGTAAGAATAAGGTTTTACTTTGAACTGTAGCTTTACATAGAATCATAGAATAGTTAGGGTTGGAAATATTACCATAATTTTTATTGGTATTCAAGTTTAAACATACAACCAGATATAATCAACATAATTATTTTTCAGAAATAAAACAATTTTAATTGTTTGCAACTAAATGAAATATTTATTTGACTTTGCTCTCATAAGTACTGATAGACACCTAACATAACTTAAAGGGTATATATTATGTTCTTCCAATGTAGTTTCTCAAAAGGGCCTTTGATGCACACTTTCTTCCAAATTTAGCATTTTGTTGAGGATTTCCTGATGCGCTGATTGGATGTTTTAGTTTTGGAACTGACAGTGCTCAGTTTGATTTATTGCACTAGAAGAAGCATAAATGCACTTTGAAAACTTCAGAAGTTGAGAATACAGATGCTTGATTTCAAGCACTGTTGCTGTGCTAAAAATAATAGTGATCAGCCATAATCTATTACTAGATGACTATTACTAGTCATGATTTTGCTAGATTAGATTCATTAAATGGCTTTAAACATACTAGAATTGTAGTCTGATGGTCTGCAGACTGCAGTTGGGCAGGTCTGCACCACTCTGGTGCAGGCCTGCCCAATATGAACTTAAAACGTTGATAATGTGGCAATTTAAATTTTCAGATCAAAACCAAAGTTTTTGCTGGCATGTTTAAGATGTTCAAGTAGTGTCATTCCTTCCAGACCTATAGGGATTAAAGCTCAAATGTTAGTCTGAAATTGCCAATTTGTTATAAAACTGTAAAACTTACTTAAGTGGGGAGGAATTAAAATATGAAGTCCTGTATTTGAAACTTTTCTATGCATTAAAAAAGACTTTACCTTCCATTTGGGCGCAAGATTTTGATGTTTAGGTTAACAAACAGCTGCTACATGTATGCCAGATCAGCTTCCAAAAAGCTTCATTAACCTACTCTTGGCAATAGGTATGATATTAATTCTCAAAAATTGAGGCTCTAAGTAATGAAACAGACAATGGATGAAGATGGTTTTTACTGCCCTCAACAAGGGATAGGTGAATTTACCAAAATAGAATGAGTGCAGTCTTAATGTGTTACAGCTACCAGAAGTAGCGCAAACCCTTTGGGTCAGAGCTGAGATGTGCTTTTCTAATAAACACTTTTTGGTCAGGCTAGAGGTCAAAATATTGTATCCTTAAAACAGATCTTCTGAAGAATTCATTTTGCCTGTTCCTACAATACTGCCCTTTTTAAATAATCCTTCCTTTTTAAACTATCTAAGCTTAGTTATACAGTATATAACCTAGAAACAGTTTTGGGATTTCTTAGTTGTCGTGGTTTAACCAATGCCAGACAGCTTTCACTCACTCACTCCCCCCCTTTCTTGCCCTCCCCTATTCTCGGAGTGCTGTCAAAACACAGCACTGCACCAGCTACCAAGAAGGAGAAAAAATGACTGCCACTGCTAAAACCAGGACATTATTATATCTTTCAAGTTTATGAAAATACGTGGAATATCATACTGTAGACATCCCAAAGAGTAGACCTATGGAGGCTTGCAGAGTGATACCTAAAACTGCCGTATCAGCATCTGAGTTTCTGTTGCAAATGTTGTTTTGCTCTGATTTACTGTAATACATGAAAGTAATTAGCTTTGGTCTAAAGAGCACTTCCTGTTTAAAGTTCAAAGGCAGGTCTTCTTGTCTTGCTAGTATGTTAACTATATAGTCCTTTTTATTAATCTTAAAATGTTTTTCTAGGAATTTGTAATTTTAAATAGTAAAGTTGTTTGCAGCATGTTCTGACCTCAGAATGAAACAGAAGTATGTTAATATTCTTCTGCCTTTTCAGTACTCTTATTAATGTTAAGTAACATATTGGGAGATATTCTATTATTATGGGGAAATTAACTTTTAGTAGCTTTTGTCAGAGAACTGAATTGTTTTCTAAAATACCAGAGTTTTATTTTGCTTTGTTATGTACCAGCCTTCTACAAAACAAAGTAACAGATATCTAATGAACAGTGAGCTGGACGGAAGCAACATCAGTTGCTGTATTTCAGTTTGGTTTTATTCTTTTTAGGGATAGTGGACTTAAGAGATACCTATTTGAAAAGCAGAAATATATATTAAGTTCAAATTGTTCCATTTTTTTTTTCCTTTGAGAATGCTATTTGATTTTGTAATGTAAAAAGATACTTGCTTTGGGTGTAATGTAGGAAAAAACAATATAATGTTACAATAGACAACTGAATTGGTTTTGAATGGAGGATGAGGTTGGTAGTGAAAGATGGAACAAATCCATTTGTTCAGCCTTCAAACTAGTTCTGCTTGTTCAAAAATATCCAATGTAATTTGGTCTCTGCTTTCTACAAAAAACGTGTTAGAAGAAATACCCAGTTGTGTTAGGCTATTTAGCACCTTTCTTCTCCTCTGATGGTGGCAGAAAGGATGCCATTGGGGCAGAGTTGTGAGTATGACAGCTTATGCTTACATATTCCCTTTATTCACGTGTACCTCTAAAATCCCCAGTATAGCAACTACATCTGCCCTCTTTAAGAAATGTTTATAGGTTTGTTGTCCATGAACTCATTCACATCTGTTTTGAACAAGCTGACTGTCATCCGCCTCTGTAACTTCATATGCCATACATATGTAACTTGTTCTGGAAGTTTTCTGCTTGATGCTTGAAATCAGTCTTCTGCCAGCTTCAATAAGTGCCCCCCAACACCACTTTCACAGGGCTTTGTGACAGCTTCATTGCTTCCCCGTGCTGCCCCACGCCAGAGCATGTTTAACATTTGTGCTTTGCCCAGTCGCTTGCTTGAGGGAGATGATTCTTCTTTGTTATTACCCTGCCAAAGAAAGAGAGTTTATGTATGTGTTTGTGTGTATTTTAAGAAATAAACATAACACAAACATAAAATTTTAGTAGCTTTTTACTTTGGGGTAGTAGAGAATACTGTGGAATCATTGTACTTTAATAAACTCTTCATTCAACTTGCTCCCAGGTAGCATTGTACTTCTGAAAATTAGTCCTGTTGACCTGAACTTTATTATTTCCTTCTCGTTTTATACAGTGCAGGTAAGAATCTTTCTGCCTAGCTAAGGGGCTGTTCTCCTAATTTATTAACACTGAGTTTATTAAATGGTGTCCTCCTTTAGGCAGTCATGACTCTCATCCTACATTCAGAAAAGCTGTTTCAGAAATTCAAGTATTTATCTTGGAGCTTTTCTGAAAGACAAATGTACATAAGGGTGGAAGGCAGTTCTCATGTAATGTAACTGTTAACTGTAGTAATTTTAAATATTTTACACCCTAAATGCTGATAACAGTGGTGGAGAGTTTTATAAGTTAAAGTTCTTTAAACTGTGATTCAAGATGAATACTGACAAGCCATTTAGTGCATGGTTCCATTTTTCTCCTAATCTAAATTCCTTCAGGTTTTCTGAGTGTAATTTCAAAGAATAGTGTTGAAGCCCTTCTGATTTCCACACAGATTCTCATCTGAGAGTGCTATCTAAACATTAGAGATAATCAACACCTGCAAAATTAAGCCTTTACTACTTTTATTGTTGCCTTTCTTCTCCCAGGATAGCGAAGATTATAACTGTTGAATAGCTGTTAAATAGAGAGGGGGGTGGGTTTTTTTGGTTTTGTGTTTTCAAAATTGGAGAGAAGTACAATCCTACAAGGAGGTAGTCTCTTATGATATAGAAAGAAAATAGTATGCTTTGTTAGTAAGAAAGCTCTTCCAGACATTATTTGTCTAAGCTAGCATGTGAAAAAACATAGATTTCGTAGCAGTGTGTAACACTGAATTCTTTGTAAGAGTAGTTGCTGGAAACAAAGAAAAATCCTTCTATTTCCATCCAAGATTGATAACTTTTTGATCTTGTAATTTGCTGTGTGACAGATTACATGACTTTCTTTTTTAGTTCTATAAATTTTATAGACATATATATTATAAATTCTATAAATTTCTATAAATTTTGAGACTTAGATGAGCTGCATGCTGAATAATTTTGTACATAAATATTGTCTGCTTGGTTTCTAAATGAGAACTGAACTAAAAAGCTGTATGTAATCAATATAATTATCCAAGGTAAGTAGCTATTGTGACACACTTAATACATACAGCCTGGCTTTATGAATTGACAGTCCTTCTTGATGTCTTCACAGGGTGCTGATAAGACTGTGAAAGGCCCAGATGGACTAACTGCCTTTGAAGCCACTGACAACCAGGCAATCAAAACTCTTCTTCAGTGACGGATGGACTGATATCTTAACTGTCTCTCCTGTGGCCTCACACTGCTGCCTGTCTGTCACTCTTTTGCATCTTCAAGCTTCTTCAGCTAAATACTTTGGGGGGAGGGAAATTATTTCTGAATCAGACTAGTTAGGGGCTTGTATTGAAGATAATCTCTTTGGAGAGGGTTAAAAGACTATTACGAACAGTGTCCCTCTAGGACTTCTTTTCAGTGCACAATCTCTTCCTGTTTCTAGTGAAAATGGAAAAAGGAAGACAGACCATGATCTTGAATTTTATGCTTGTAAACCTCCTAGTTAGTATTAAGATTTTTGTTGAAAGATTCCTTTAGATGGAAGTACTGTGCTATGTTCCTAGAACTAATTGTGAAGGAGACAATAGTCCCATACTATTAGTGTCTGCTATAATCTGAAGTGTAGTAATGTAGGTGGCTGGGTTGCTTTTCTCTCTGTGGTTAGCTTTATTATTCTTCTGCCTAAAGCTTATGTTGCAGTTTTGAGGACTTTTGATACTAGTTATTGGACCTGTTCTTTATATTGACTAATTGGATGTCACACTAATATTTTTCTGACCTATTGAATAAACCAGGAAAGATCAGTTGAGGCATGGTGATGTTACACTCCAGAATATTTGCTAAGGTACTTTTTGATGCTTGAATTTGAGGTTTTTCTTTCCCATGTTTATTCTGGTCCAGGTGTTTTAAGTTCAAAGTGTCACTGTAGTTATTTCCAAAAGGATTCTAAGATGGAATTACTTTACTCACCATGTCAGCATAAAATTTATAGACACATGTGAAAGCTACAAGCTCTTTGGTACACATGGATAATCAAGTCAAAAGTGGAAAATAAACAATATCTAGACATTCATACAAGGTGAAATTGTTGCTAAATATTTCTGGTAAACTTAGAATATGTCTAAGCTTTCTAAGTTCAGGTGTTAGGAACAGGAAGACGTACAAGTAGAAGTCTTAACTTGCTCTAACTACTGGAGGACAAAACCCCCCAACTTTTAATTCTGCATATCTTTGAATCAGTATCTCATTGTTGGCTGAATGAAGCTGTTAAATATTTTGTGAAGTTAAGGCGCGGGGCTGAAATGTTCTCAGTGCAACCCGCATTAACCATTGGCTTTTAGATAAGATTTACTATACCAGTAATTATGACAGTACTGTGACAGCCTTGATAATTCATGGGAAGGTATTTAATGATGTTCTAGGTATTCCCATCACATTTTATGGTCCTCAGGAATGTCTGAGCTTCTGGCTTTCATTTTGAAAATTTTCATTACACTGCTAGTTCACACAGAACTGCATAACAGTTTTTGTAACAGAAAAGTGTATACCACAAACTATACATCTTCCTCTTTTTGGAATACAGATTTCAAACTTTCTGATAACAAACAAAATACAGAAACAAGTGTATATAATGTCTCGTGCTGAATTCTTAAACAAAAGTAGCTGATATTATTTTGATATCACTGTTGAAATTGAGAGGATATGTAGAAGTAGGCTGGTGACTACCACTCATATTTAATGGAGACTTAGTTTTACTTGAATAATGTTGCATATTATGATTTAATGTCTCAGCTATAAAAAGCCTTGTGTTGACTGTAAAGTGAGAGCAGAAACTGATTTACATGTCCACATCCCATAAAAGATGGAGGAAACAATCAACTCTGGCCATAAACTGTACAGTGCAATTACTCTTTGCTTCTTTGAGATGGGTGGCAAGGAAGAGCAGAAGGGTTGGAAATCAGTGATAAATCAATTGACGAGCTGCTGATAAGAGAACAAGCATGTTTGGTGAGCAATGCTTTTAGTGCTATTTAAAGAGAACTCTTTAATCTTATCTCTGATCAGTGCTGGATTGTCTTGTTGTTGTAATAGTGTGAACACAGACTATAGATTTAACTCTTTATTCAGCTATGAAAGTAAGCATCTTTGGTATAAATTTGCCTCCATATTATGCTATTAAATACTTAGCTATTAAAGTACTAGTCTAGAAAACTGCAATCTTTTTATGTGGAAAACTTGATTATTCAAGTTTTTTGTGTTGATTAGTGTCAAGCTGTCTGACCATAGAGGTTTTTTTTTTGTTTGTTTGTTTTGGGGGTTTTTTTTGTTTTGTTTTCTTTAGGTCAGGTTTGGGGTTTTTTTGTTTGTTTTCTGGTTTTTTGTTTTTGTTTTTGTTTTTGTTTTTTATCTGTATCCTTTCCTATCCTTCCCTTCAACTCTCACTTACGTGAGCATTTTCATAGTAAAGAAACATCATCTTTCTACTAACTCTTCTACTAACTGGTGATTCACTGAGGCAATTTTGCCTTCCTTTTTCTAGAGTTACGTGGACACCTAATTTTTTCTTACTTCACTTGAAGGGGAGGGAGGGGGGGAGGAAAAGGGGGCAATACAAATAAACTTCAGTGAGACAAGTGTTAATTTGGCTGTAATATATACCCAAGCTGCCTTTCGATATAGTTAAAAGATGGGTTTTAATATTTGGCTCATACAGAAGAAATACTTTTTTTGCATTTTGCACTACATAAGAGGTGATTGATCATTTTGCCCAAGATTAAAAATAATAATAAAAGCTTGTGCTTTTGTCATTGACTAGAAACAGGGCTTTGTTCATTTGTCCCCTTCTTGCTAGCTATATTGAGGAAAAAATAATGGATGGCTGCCTCTGTCTTTGACTAGGTCCTAACTAGATGAAAATACAAAACTGTAGATTATTTTACATTCTATAAACAGAATTTAAATATTTTGTCATACTGGAATAGCATATACTTGGAAGTCCACTCTGTTCTTAAACCTTTTCCTTTTGAAATTTGTGCTGAATAAGTTATAACATTAAGTATACCTTGGATTTCGTACCCTCTGCTGCTTCTTCTTAAGGGAGAGCAAATGGGAAAAGGAGTATGATAGTTAAATAGAACTTTATCCTTGAATATTCACTGAATTATTTGTAGAAGAGGCTGGTAAGAAAGGAGTGTCCTAGGTCAAGCAATTGCAGTGTTGCATGCAAAATTTCAAAACGAACTCGTCATAATTATATTTTGTAAATGGATAAACAATCATCTTTCTGCGCAGTGATGGAAGAAGATTAGTTCTCTGTGCATTTTGATATTCAACTTTCTCTTTTCACTATTGTTAACTGTTTTGACACAGGTTCATCATTATCATGGTTCATAGGCATCAGAATGCTAAATGATACTGTATTTTTCAGTTTGTGTTGCAAGAATGAATGGAATAAACTTGAATTGTGCGATATGAGAATGTAGAGTTTTATTTCCATTTCTGCTCTTGTTTTCATTAGTCTCTGCCTGCAACTTTTTATTTGCCCTGAAGGCATTTAAGATCCAGCTTACATGTACATCGATTAAAATGTTCTCGTACCTATAAGAGTTAAATGTGGAATGAAAGCCAGTATATAAAGTTGTTTTTAAATTGCATCAATTTAAACGAGATTTTGATTCTGTGGGCTTGTGGTCTGCATTTCCTGCTTAAATGGTAATGCATAATGTTGAAGATCTCATATTCATGTTAAATTTTAAAAGACCATCTGTAGATAAAGGGATGTTCCTCCCATTATCTGTGAAGACTAAAGTAATTTATTCTCTCCTTTACTTTTTCAAAGAAATTTAAATGATTATTTATGGAAAGCAGAGTTGATAATAAGTAAAATTGAATAAAAATGTATAATTATTATTCTTGTTGCATCTCTATGGTAACTTTTCCAGACTTTCCCTTTTTAACTTTGCTTGCAAGTATAGATTTAAGTCCAATTGCTTGAGTTGTTTAATATGTCCTTTCCAACCCTAAGTATTGTATGATTTTATTATTTTATATTATTTAAGTATACACTTTTAAAGCAAAAGTACAGTGAGGCATTGTGTAAAAGTGGGGAAACTAGAAATATGGAAAAATATTTCACAAGAAACTTAATTTGTCTTTTGTGCTAAACTGAGAACAGGGACTTCTGCACAACCTTTCAGTGAAATACTGGAGAGAAGGACATGCTCGTTGTAAAGACCAAAGCAGCTCAAATAGTCTGATGGCCAGCAGCAACTGATAAGTGTGCCTCATTCCTGTGTACGTGTTATTGGGTTTTTTATTTGTTTGTTTTATGGACAGTTTTTCCATAGGAGGAAATACTAGGTAAGGTTCAGAGTGCAGATGTCTTTACTGTCTGTGTTCTTATCTAAGAACAGTTGTGTTGAAGGATACTTCCCAACTTTACAAACTGCTATTAAAAGCTAATCCTACATCTGATACCAGTATTTAGATGTAGACAAATCCTGAACAGTAGGCATAAATAGAATATGAAAGAAATGGTTAAGTTTTTTTGAAGCGTTGGATGAAATTGTTAGAACTGGGATCAATACAAAACAACAGTTTTGGTGTTTTTTTTTGTCTATGCACAAACCTTGCTGGATTTCACTTCTCAACAGGAAAACCTAATTACTTTCCTTTTTGTGCACTGATCCTGTGATCTATTTGAAGGATTATTTCTCAGGACCTGACATACCTTAAAGATTTTCTGTGTGTTTTGTAGTCAGTGTCAATAACCTTCCCAAAAGCACAGAAGAGCTTATGTAAAGAGAGAAGTGAAACAGATGGGAAGCACACCAATTTCTAGTGTCAGCGGCTTAAAATGTAAGAACAAGCCCCTAGCTTTTAGAAATTAATGACATTTCTGAAGGTAGTTATAAACTTAAATATTTACAAAGCCATATTAAGCAATAACTTGAAAGAAAAAGACCCAGCCTACAGCAGTAAAGCTTCATAACCTGTATACTTAAGGAGGTGCTTCTAAGGCTGTGTTCTCAGGATAAACAGCTGAATATATATTGTCATTCTTTCTTCTCTGTTCAAAGGGAAAAAAAAAAAAAAGGAAATTGGTACTTCCTTAGCAGATGGTTGCCTTGGGGGAAGAGGTTGAGGGGGAACGGAAATTCCCTTGTTTCCAATTTGCAAAACTCAGAGGTTGGTATTGAAGGGGATTTTTTTGCTGTCAGAGGTGAGATTGAGAGATGCACAGAGAGTGAAATGTACTATAATGTCAAAGTCTCCGTGAGTGGTTTCTAAAGATCACATTCTGTCAACTGCATTTATTCTCCACATGCCAGAACTGACCTGTGATATGTCCTCCAATTCTCTCATCTTGTATCTGCCCTTCCTGAATGCACAGGTTTCCCTTTTTAATAGGTGCCTAGAAAGTAGGCAGAGAACTTGTTTGTAGATGCTGCTAGAAAATACTCCAAGACTGTCTATTGTCTATACCAGGAAAGGATGAATTAAAATCACAGGACAAAAGACTGAAGAAATCCAGTAAATGAAAGACTTCTGTCCTATCTCCCTGCTACTGCAGGCTTGTTCTGCACTTTAAATGTTATATTCCTGTGTGGTAACACAGATTATTTGTGCTACCCTGAAATATCATGGATGTAATGCGACTGTTACAACCATCGTGTTGCATGAGTAGATGCCCTTTTGACTTCTTTCAGTGCTACAGGTCAGTAGGAAGAATGTAAATGACTGTATTATGTGAAACTTTGGAGCAAGGTAATTTCAACCCGCAAGGTATTTAGTTTACCTACTGAACTGTTGATGGTTAGAACATCATACTTTTGGCAGAAATAGAGGATATCATGCAACTCCAGTTTTCTTGTTAGTTGTGATACAGCATAATTC